TATTTTACGATATTTGCGGAAAACATTTGCCCCAAAAAGTAATAATTACACGGTGGGGAACCTGGTTAGAGGCATCGTTTTTTTATGCAGATAATTATGAACTAATAGTTCAATTTATAAACACATTGCCTACAGAAGTTGGTACGGCTACAAAACCACCAAATAAATCAATTATTAATCTCAAAACACTCATTAAAGATGAAAATCTTAAACCTCAGATAAAAGATTTGAAGAAATTTGATATATTGACTAAATCACTGGTTGAGCTTCAAACTCAGGAAATGTCTTTGAAACAACAAACTGATATTATTAACGTGATTAATGATTATTATTGCACCATTAACGACTGTTGATGTTAAGAGATCATTTTGTTAAGAAAAATATTTGTGTTAAATATAATCAACTTATTTAATTTTAATTACTATTTGTTTTAACTACAATTCTTAAGGAACATTTTAGATGTAATGTTAATTCTATGTTATAATGTTAAGTCTATGGCAGTGTTTTGTTTTATTATTACATATTATTGCATTGTAATCTTTGTTTATCAAAAACTGTATTCTGTCATTTAAACTTTTTGATTAAAATTGTCATGTTTTGAAATTGCAGTTAAGAATTAATTTATTCAAATAGTAAAATATGTTGTTTTTAATTTGTTTTTTGTTTAAATGCAAAATTAATTTTATCCGTGCATTTTCCCTGGAAAAACCGTTGAGATCACAGCCTAGCTTATTATAGCTCAGTTCAACATGAACATTTAGGATTATAAATTAACGCGGTCCCCTCACACCCTATGGCATTTAATATAAGTTCCCAGTTTAAGTTCATGAGCTATATAATTTTAGAATTAGTAGAATATTAGAATTTTACAAACAGAACCTCGATTAAAATACTCTAATTTTTATTCAACATCACACAAATGAAGTTAGCATATAACTTATTCATTTGACTTGCTTGTAAACCTTATTTTACTTTATTTTTTGTTGACCAAGAATTCAATTCTATATATTATTTTAAAGGAGGATGTCGAGATCTGCCTAAGCTGGCACCCGGGATTTCACAATATAAAATCAAAGTACATTGCATAAGGAGTCTATTGATATAATCAATATGGCCGACCGACCTCGGGTTCGGCGGTAGTGACCACTTGTATCGGGAAATGTTAACTTATTAAAAATTAACATATGACATATGAAATCAATGTAGAATTGAACGTAGAATCAGAATATATTATTATTATTTGCATGGAAAATATCGTATTTAAAATATCGCCAAATTAAAAAAAATATAATTTCAATTTTTGTTATTTTGACGTTGTTTATGGATAATTTTCATAAAATTATACTGTATTTTTGAATTAGTGCTTAAATAGAAACAAAATATAAATTAAAATGAATAATTATTTACTAACACTACTAACTAGTTGACTTACTAACACTACTAACATTACTAACATGATTAACACTACTAACTAGTTGTCTTACTAACACTACTAACATTACTAACATGTGGTGGTGTTGTCGTGGGTGGTGGTAGGGCTTGTGGTGGCGTTGTCATGGTATTGTCGTGGGTGGTGGTCGGGGTTGTGGTGGTATTGTCGTGGGTAGTGGTCGGGTTGTGGTGGTGTTGTCGTGGGTGGTGGTCGGGTTGTGGTAGGGTTGTCGGTGGTAGTGTAATAACTTATTTTAATAAGTTTTGGTAGTTTTACACAAATTACAAAAGAAAATTTAATTTTACTGATGTGATATTACTATATTCTGATTCTCCGTTAAATTCTACATTGATTTCATATATCATATGTTAATTTTGAATAGGTTTATATTTACCAAAAATAATGGCCACTATGGCCGAATTCGAGGCCAGATTGTCATCTGGTGTGTATTATTTGTATTTTAATTTAATATATGTTTAGTATCATAAAGAAAATCGCATTAAATTAACTTTGGACAAAAAATCGCCCACCATGCCAACAAAGTAACTTTTTTCCAGAGGGTTAAATAAAAATTATTTTTTTAGCCAAATTAACATAGAGTCTTCCCCATCCTCCTTTACATTTTAAATTATTCATACAATTTATGTTATGGATAATAAGTTTTGAAAGCAAATGCAACGAAATAAATTATAATAGTTTTAATATACATGTATAAATGTAGTAAATGTTTTACATTAAATAAAACAAGCTTTAAGAAACTTTATAGTAATATTAACAATGTAATAAAATAGTGAATCCGACAATTTGTGAGTTGTATTTATAGAATATTTGAAAGTTCGTTGAAATTTTGCAATTGTTAAAAAATACGAAACTAGTGTTCGTTAAATGCCTAACAATTAAACCCCTGAGTTTTATATTCGGGAATTAACGGACACTAGTCTCGTATGTTTCAACGATTACAACAATTAAAATATTTGTATCACTTTTTATTTCGCAGTTTAACATTGCAAATTAAGGTTAAATATATATTGCATGTACAGTAATTATTAAATTAAATTATCATCATCATAAAATTATCAATACAACATAATCTTACAATAGAACATACAAATTATAATATGTCATAATATTATTAAAATTGCTGCGAGCCGTATAAATTGCCTGTCACATTACATCTAGCACATCTAGCATTTGTCGATTGTCCCAAAAACTAGTTGACCACCGCTAACAATATATGCGGTGGTTTGGTTTGACCACGATTTTCTATTTACTAGATAGGCGTATATCACGCTCATAATGGCCGGTAGTATTATAAGTATGAACATGAATACGGCCAACCGTAAACTTCCCATACCTTTGTCATTGCTAACAAATACCTTGATATATACTAACAAAATCAGCGACAATATTGAAACTGTGGCGACCGCGATGCAATGTCCGGACCATTCTTTGTAGGTTACCACCAGAAAATAGACCATCATGGTTAAATATATCACGTTTGGTAGGAGTAAAGGTGCCAAACCTGTATTGTGATTATAATTTGTAAACTTGTTAATTGTTTCTAAATAATATATTAACAATCATATACAATAAACTATTGATCTTGATAGTTGTAATGTATAGTTTTGGTTTAAGTTATTGTGCATGCACAAATTAATTAATTGAGCATTGCAATAAAACTTATAGAAGAAGTAATATTTAATAATTAGTTAAACGTTGTTTAAAACTTTTTTGTAAACATATAATTATATTTAACTAACTATAAGTACATTGTATACTTTAGTATTGTATTACAGCAATATCTAATAGATTATTACTATTATATTTAAACAAAATTATCAAAGCAAATAAAGTACTTACCAGATTGTAATAATGACCATTGGCCATAATAAAGTTGCAAAGTATAAATCACATAGAGCAAAATAATTAATGAATTAATTACATAGCTTATCATGAGAAAGGTTTTCAAAATATATTTAATAATATTTAATTTATTTGCCATGGTTGAAAATAATGCAAAAATAATTTTTGCAAAACTGACTATGTAACTATTTATATTCCTGTTTATTTAAACAATTCCGTAGATTCTGCGCCTAAATTCATTTCAATATAACATGTGTAAAAGTAAAAGTAAACAAATCAATGATGTTTTTGTTTTATGTTATAATGTCATTATACTGTATTATTGAGCTAGATTAAGTATAAAGTATGCAATTCGTTTATGGCTTGTACATTAATTATTTTAAAATTCTGTTGTAAAAAAAATTTATATTATAATACTTTAGATATTTTACATCACATATTATGTTGTAGTTATAATTAAATGTACAATACTGTTGCCCATAGGGTTAGTATTAGTCCCATAGATTTAACATTGCCATAAGCATAGCATTAACCATGTTAAAGTATAGCCAGTGACTTAAGCTGTAATCCTATATCCATAGACTCAAAAACACTATGTTAAAGTATAGCCATAGACTTAAGCTGTAATCCCATTATAAATCCCCGTAGATACAAAAACCAATGTTAAAGTATAGCCATAGACTTAAGCTGTAATCTCATGTTGATTCCCCGTAGACTTAAGAACTCCATGTTAAAGTATAGACATAGACTTAAGCTGTAATCTCATAGAGTGGGGGGGCCAGGAGGGGGAGGGGGCAGAACGATCCTATAAATTATCTTTAATCATAGCTATTATTCACGGTTATATTAATTAAAATATCAAGTAAATTTGTGTTATGAGTTAAATTGTAGTTAACTGTTAAAAATATTGTTAACAATATTTTAAAAATAATACAATTTTACAAACTTTGTCTATCAATAGGAGAAGCTTGGTCATCGGAATAATTATCAGTATTGGTATAAAATTTGTTATCATAATCCAAAACATGGTCATATAATATTATGCCAGCCACAATAATAAACACTCCAACCAACTGTTCTACAACTGTATATAATATATTATAAGGCCAGTAGTATGTATTTTAACACTTTCAGTGCTAAATTAAATTTGTCCATTATGGTTTAATCATTTAAATTTAATAAATGTTACCAAATTTAGAGTTTACAATTGAATTACATAAGTGATACAAAACTAATTAAATATTAACTAAAAATTAAATATTAACTTGCTTGTCTGACGCGTAAACAACTATTAAAATTTTGCGCATGGTCAAAATTACAATACCAAGTTTTAACTTGAAGGTGACCCCAATTTTCGTTGCATGAATTTTAAGCTTTTAGGGGAAAATTTTTTTTGGATTGATTATGCAATTTAAATTATTTTTTGTAATTAAATATTAATCCATTGATTGTCATAAATATTTCATTATTATTTAGGGATCTATGTTAATTTGTTATAATTTATACCTTAAATTATTCATATAAATTTTGTTGATTTTAAAAGAAAATGCAATGAAATAAATTATAAATAGTAATAATACATTAAATTAAACGTTTTATTGTTAATTAAAAATGTAATAAAATAAAAGTCTATTTAGTAAATCAGTGTTATATACATGTATCTTGATTAATTGTAAATAATGAAATGTAAGCAAAATAACAAGTCCTAAACATTAACAGCATCACACTTAGCACCCAACTCGATACTAGAATCCTGACAATTACCATCAGCTTTTAATCTCCGGTGAATGAGGTAGGCGTATATCAGTGCCAATAACGAGGTGGTACTCGCGATGATAGCTGCATATACGCTCAGGTCTCCCTTTATAGCAAACATGGTAATTAATATTGACAATACGGCTACCACGATGCTTTGTTTTGGCCATTCGCGTGACGTTAACACAATATAATACAACATGATCATTATTGTAATAGCGCCCGCCATAATATGAAATTTAGGGTCTAAATTAATTATATATATAAATTCATATATACTTTACAGTAATATAACTGTAAAATATTACCTCTATTTCTAGGAATACCATCTGAGTACCTTGTCAATTGTCCATGTATTAAAACACCAAGGACAATGTACAGACCGCGCACCAACTCGACCATATAGCCGCACAATAAATAATATTTTATAAATTTTATACTTGAATTGAGTTTTTCAGACATGGCCTTAGGGTTTAACCTTTAAAAATATTTTTTTATTAAGAAATTACAGTTATATTATAGAAATAAGTAATATGCAACTAATATTATGAAATATTAACAAGATTAGCCGAGACGTAAACAATTATTAAGATTGTGCGCATGGTCAAATGTCAATATAAATTCTCAAAATTCAAGGTTAAGCATATTTTCATGTATTGGAAATATGTTTACACGGATCAACTAATCCCGGAGCGAGTAATATAATCGTGACCACAACAATGAGGAGTATTCCTGTTTAAAAAACATGCAAATGGTTACAAACAGCTGAGTTATTGAAAAATTCCTGACCGCAGGCACAGGGTATATAACATTACAATTCTGGTGAATGACATTACTTATGTAAAATTCCCGTTTAAATGCATTTAGTCCTATGCCTGCTGTCAGAGATTTGTCCATAACTGCGGTGTTTGTGGCCATTCGCATGTTCTGTGACAGGAATACATGTGTTCCCATTGTGTACATAATGTATGGTCACAATCATATCACTCCCGCCTAAAGATATTTCCCTTTTTTAAGTAAAGTATATATATAAAATATATTCCCTTTATATAAAATCGAGGAATATTATTCCTGTTAAATTATAATTAGTTTCATGTTAACAAATAATTTGTATTATAAACTTTTTATAATTAAATACTTTTTAATTTATTGTGTGTTAAAATATATTAATTTAAGCACAATTAAATAATTATAATATATTGATAATGAAAACTATATTACAAATGACAATTACCGTAGTATTTAAATTATTTCTAATTTTATTTTATATATTGGTTAACAATACTATCAAACCTTATTATTAAGTACAAACATTTAAAATGACATTAAATGACATAAAATAAATAAATTTTATAAAATAAATAAATTTCATAATAATATTAATACTTTTGATTATATAATAATGTTTTATATATTTTTTACATTTCCGATGAAATTCCTTATACAATATTAAAATTATATTTTTTAAAAATAGTTTATTATAAAACTACTATTATAACAAATAACAATAAAGTTTATTTAATAAACCTTGGTAATATTATTCTTATATTCTTACACAATTAGACAAATAAAAATGCAACTTTAATGTTAAATCAGCTTGTCACTTAAACATAACTTCCTTTACCCTTAACAGCTAACTCAATACTCGTATCCGGTGAGTGCTGACAATCAGCATCAGCTTTTAATTGCTGGTGAATGAGGTAGGCGTATGTCAGTGCCATAGACGTGGTGGAAATCGAGACGATAACTGCATTCGTGTCCATTCCACCCGTCAAACCAAGTATGGTAAGTAATATTGACAATATAGCCACCACGATGTTTTGTTTCGGCCACTCGCGGTAAGTTACCACAATAAAATATGACATTACCATCATACAAGTGGCGCCAACAGCGATAAAAAATTTAGGATCTATGTTAATTATAAAGTCAAGTAAATATTATATAACTGGTATAAATATATCATAATAATAAAATCAAATATACTTTGTTTATCAATAGGAGCAGCATGGTCATCAGAAGAATCATTCGTAATGCTAGAAAAATCATGGATATACTTAGGAACAGTGGGTTGATATATAATACCCGCCACCATAATGTACAAACCAGTTATCCATTCTATTATATATCCGAACATTAATGTGTATTTCAACACTTTTAGTGCTAATTTGTATTTGTCCGACATGACTTTATTATGTAAAGTTACAATTACAATTACAAGTTAATAAATTTTTGCTTATTTAGAATTCACAATTAAATCATGTAAGCAAGTAAATCATATGCTTTAATCTTATCTGAATTATCTAGCTGGGTAAACCGAGAAGTAAACAATTATTGTAATGTGGCGCATGGTCAGATAACAACATAAACTATCAAGTTCAGGCTTACACAATTTGATCTGTTTATCCCATAAATGATATAAATAGAAATATAATACTATATGTTTATTTAATAAATAAATTATTTACTGTACCTTGCAAAACTAATATGTTTACACAAATAAATGATATCCATAACATAACATGAAAACAATCAAATACATTTTTAATTAAAAATTATAATAATTTTTAAATTATATGTTTTATAAATCAATACAAATTAATTGGCAAAAATGAAAATAATACACATTTCATTATAAGTTAATGATCATTGATGATTTGTTATATTATCAACATATATTTAAAATTGTAGTTGTAAAATAATACAATTTTATAGACATGTAATTTTATGTAACAAAATGATGGTCATAATTTTTATTAAATGAGCCTATTACCTAAACATAAACACCATAGGTTTTAACACCTTATTGTTGAGTCAACACTTGTATCCCGTGAATGTTTACAATTAGCATTAGATTTTAATTTTTTTGTAAATGAGGCAGGCGTATAAATGTGCCATAAACGAGGTAGAAATTGCGTAGACAATGATTATTAGTCTGCCCACACAGCCACATATTAAAGTTTGCATAGTAATTAATATTGATATTGCAGTCACCACAATATTTTGTTTTGGCCACTCGTGGTAAGTTACCACAATACAATATGTTAGTATACAAATAGTGCTAACCGTAATAAAAATCTCTGCTCTAGGGTAGCCTGTAATATAAAAACAAAATAACAATTTATTTAATGAGTAAAAATTTATTACATAATTATTAAATAACATAATACATAAGGTAAGTAATGTAAGTATTATTTTATTTATAAATAATATTTTACCGATATATACATGTAAATGCAATATTTTAAATGTTATAGCGTAATAAAGCTATACTAACGTATTGTACCAATAAGGTCAATTTCATCAGAAAAATCATCCGTATTTATATCATCAGTATTTGTAAAAATTGTTTTGACATATATGGAGAGATATGGGTTATCTAATATTATTATAAACACCATTATAAACATGGCCAACACCCACTCCATTATATAAAATATCACTAGTATGATTTTTAAAACTCGTATTGCTACATTTAGAATGACCAACATGGTTTATTATTTCACCACAATTATTTTAATTATATTTATTTAAATATTTAAGTAAGTAATGTTATGCTATTAGAATGCAATGTTAACTGGATTATACAATAAGAGGACAACTATTGGATTAATGCGCATGGTCAATTGCCAAAATAAAATTATCAAGTTCAAGGTTATACAAGTTGTATTTATTTGAGAAACGTTATGAAATTCTAAAATTATAGAATTTATCATGTACTGTATATAATTATCATGTAAAATAATAATTTATTATTTCAATTTATTTAAACAATTTTTAAATAAGGTTTTAATTTTTAAATTATAATTTTTATCTTTTGCTTATAAACGTTAATTTAGAAATCATATAATAAAAATACCAAATTAAACATATTAGTATACGATAGCGTACACAATAAATTATTATAAAATGAATAAAATAAATTATTATGCATTATTGTGAATTAAATATACAATTTAAAATTATAAATGTTAAAAATACATATTTCATTATAAATTAATAATAAATGTTGAATAGTTGTATTATTCATTTTAAATTGTAGTTTTAAAATAATACAATTACATAGACATGTTGTTAACTTAAAATAACAAACGTAACGCACAATTTTTACATGGTCATTTAGTAAATGTTTATAATCTAATATACTGTATCTACACCAAGAACATGGTTATAATTCTAAATAAATAAGCCTGTTATCTAAACATACACACCTTATCCCTTAACACCTAACTCATCATTGTTATCCTGTAAATCATGACAATGACCATCATCGGTTTTTAACTTTTGGCCAATGAGGTAGGCGTACATCAATGCCATAAGAGATGTAGACATCGCGTAAATATTTGCACCACTACTCGTGTCGTCCATTAAACCAAGCATGGTAATTAATATTGATGTCATAGCCACCATGATACTGTGTTTCGGAAACTCGAGATAAGTTACCATAATGAAATATATCATTACCACTACACAGATAGCGCCGCCAACCGTAATAAAAATATTTGAACAGGTAATATGAAAACAAAATATCAAATTATTCAATGAGTTTTGTCATTATAATGCACGTATTTATAAATAATATTTTACCATTATATACAAGTAAATGCAATATATTAATATCTAAATAAGATAAATATAAGATATTATATCGTAATAAGGCTATACTAACTTTGCTTGTTAATAGGATTGCGAACATCAAAAAACTTATCCGCATTTTGAGAAATTATTTGCATATATATGGAAAGACTTGAGTCATCTAATAGACCGGTCAGTATCATAAACAGGGCAAACGCCCACTCCATTACATAGAACAATAATAGTATGATTTTTAGCACTCGGATTGCTAAATTCAGATTGTCCGACATGGTTTGTTATTTTATTACAATTTTTAAAATTATATTTATTAAATTATGTAAGTATGATCAAGCCACTAGAATACAATCTCAACTGGATTATATAATAAGATGACAATTATTGGTTAATGCGCATGGTCAATTGCCAAAATAAAATTTTTAATGTTAAGTTCAAGGTTACACAAGTTATTTTATATTGATTGCATGATTGTTGTGAAATCAGAAAATATTTAAACATTCAAAATATAACCCTATAATTCATTATTTTAANTTTCACTTTAAAAATGTGATAATTTTTAGTCAAATTTTTTGTTGCAAATTTTTCAAAATAATTCCGACCGACAAACTTTGAAAAAATCCTGTTCATAAACTACTCATCCCATCTTGATGAAACTTGGATTCTGGTGCCTAGAGATGTCAACTTAAATTATAAAACCAATTTCAGAATTCTAACTACACGGCAACTGGGCTAATATAATACAATATCATTTAGCCCAATATAAACAGTCTATAAATAACAATGTTTTAATTTTTAATTTACATTAACCATTCGTTATCCATTTCTCTGACCAATCGTTATTTAATTTGTTAATTAATGTTTAATCTTAAAACGTAAACAATCACGATGGTACCAATGAAAGGTTGTGCTCGTGTATTTAAATTATGTTTAATTACAATTTACGCACTTATCTGGATGTTTGCTGCCTTTGTATTTATACTCTTATGTATCGCAATATCTTCTGGGGATCGTAATGATCGTTAAGAGAAGTAAGTTTAAATTACATATGTTTATTGTATCACTTTATTAATTATTGTAATGTAATTGTTATTTATTCTGTAACAGACTTTAAAGAAATTTTTTTGATGTGGGTATTTGCGTTGATTTTCATAAGTATCATGGTCTATATCATTTGGGTCACATACAATCAACGTAAAATACAAAGCATCGTGGTGGCTGTGTTTTTGATTATTTCATTATTGATTAGCTTAAAAAGCTTACAAATGTTTTTACCAATACCAGTTGGACTGGGAATAATCACCCTTATGTCTATGATTTATACCTATTTGGTTAATTGTGATACATTGGGCGATAATACTAATAATAACCCTGCAGTACCGGTTTAATAGGATAATTAATCAAATTCCTAGAATCTAGGTTATTATTTGTAAACTTTATGTAAATATTTTTAAGGGTATTTTATAAATTATAAATAAAAGTAATAATTTTAAATTGTAAATTAAATTTATAAATTTACAATATATTTAATTCACAATAATGTACTATGGTTCATATTTTTATTCATCTAAAAAATTATTTAATATATTTTAATGTTTATACTGAAAATTATTTGTAAATACTGTATAATGATATATTGTAATTTAGCAAGGTTTTCAATTTCATAACACTGATGCAAGACAGACAAAAAAAAACTCGTATAACCTTGAACTTGCCTATGCGCAAAATCACAATTTTTAAATTACGTATTATTTATATTGCATAATAGTGACATAACATGCTATATTTAGTAAATATAGTAAAAGTAATAGTATCCAGCAAACGAAATAATAAACCATGTGTGACAAAAAATTTAGTAATACGAGTAGTAAAATATGTAAATCTTATTAAAACATAAACAAACATGATGAAAGGGTTTGCACGTGTATTCAAATTCAGTTTACTTACAATATACACATTAATATGGCTGTTGGCTGTCGGTGTAAGTGCAATGTTTTGTATTGCAATATTTACACCAGGACATTTCCACTATGAACAATGTGAGTTTTAATTGTATTTTATTATCACATTATTCTATACCAACTTGTAACGCTAATTTAATATACTCTTTAACATAGTATATCTACTATATCTACCTATGTTCATTATTGTACTCATCATGGTTTACATCATTTGGGTCACATACTATGAACGTAGCATACAAAGCATTGTGGTGGCTGTATTTTGGCTAATTGTGTTGTTTTTATGTGTGCTTAGTTGTAATGAATTATCAATATATTATCCTGATAATCCATTAATTATAATAATACCGATTGGAATGGCAATGATTACTGTCATGTCATTCATCTATGTTTGTTTAATTGATCATGATATTTATATTTATGATTCTGAGCAGTCTGTAGTACCGGTTTAATAAATATGCAATGAATCTAGATTATAACTTGTAAATATTGTTTGATATTAAAATAGACTATTTTAAATATGTATAACATTTAATTAAAAATATTTTTTAATGATTTTTATATATAATACCTTTTTGTACATAATATTTATTAATATTATATCATTCTTAAAATTTGATATTTCTTATTATGTATGTTTAAAACAAAACTTGTGAACAAAATATAGTAATTTTAATTAAAAAATTAAATTTAATATTAAAAAATATTTGTAAACATTATTTTAACAACATTGATTTTGCTATTTTCATTCTTGGTTAGCTTAAAAAACTTGCATCCATTTGTGCCAACACCAATTATACTGGGAATAATCACAATTATGTCATTAATCTATGTCTATTTAGTTAATCTTGATACTTGCGGAGATAATCTTGAGAGCCAGGTAACTCCGGTTTAATAAATAGGGTGAATTGAATTTTTATATTTTCATTATCTATAACACTGGCTTTAAATGATTTGCCTTAAACTAAGAGACGTGCGAAAATTGAAGGGAACAAAACAATATTGACGTGGTTTCTGATTCACCTTGTTAATTTGTTAACATTATATATGATTAAGCCATGAATAAGGTATAAATTACAAAGCATATTAAAATACTGTGTACGCCTAGATGTACGCACACAATCTTACTACCTTAAACTGATTTGCCATGTTGGTAAACACTCGTATGGTAAAACAGTATAATAGAGGGGCAATAAATAATAACCGGCAAATCATTTATCTGTTGTTAAAATTACAGTATAATAGCAATTTTTATCTGTAAATTTATTATATTTTGATGTAGCTTAAGAATTTTATAATTTAATTAATAAGATAAGTAAAAATATATTATTTTTGTAAAAATTATATAAATATAATGAAATTTATTTGTAAACATTAAAATTATTGATTTTAATTTCACATGTATACAGTATACTTTTATTTCACATGTATCATGCAATGTTCATATAAACACTCGTTTAACTTTGTTGTACAGTGCCAAAATTTTAAACATTGTTTACACAATGATTAATTTAGTTAGAATTAAACATTTTTGGCAAATGTTGAGAGAGAGCCAGGTAACTCCGGTTTAATAAATAGGGTGAATTGAAATTTTATATTTTCATAATTTGTAAATATGTTTGGAAATTTTTGTATAAAGTCTGTTGTTTTACAATTATAAATTTAATAGCAATTTTAATCAGTGTATTTATTTTATTTTAATATAACTTAAAAATTTTATAATTTAATTTATAAAAATAAAATAAATATAATATATAAATAATATAAGTAAAAATAATATAACTATACTGAAATTTATTTGTAAACATTTAAATTATTGATTGTAATTTCACATGTATATTCAATATACAATATACTGTACTTTTATTTCACATGTTTCATGCAATGTTCATACAAAAACTCGTTTAACCTTGTTGAATAGTGCCAAAATTTTAAAAATTGTTTACACAATGATTAATTTAGTTAAAATTAAAATAATTTTGGCAAATGTTGAGAGAAAGAAAGAGAGAGAGAGAGAGAGAGAGAGAGAGAGAGAGAGAGAGAGAGAGAGAGAGTATTAGGCGCAGAATCTTGATTTGCATAAAATAGTTTGCAGTATTTTGTAGTCTACTAAATACCGTTTTAATTCATATAAATGGTCTATAATTAACTCGGTTTTAATTTTTAATTTACATTAACCATTTGTTATCTATTTCTCTAACCAACCGTTATTCAATTGGTTGTTTAATGTTTAATTATAAAACGTAAACAATCACGATGGTACCAATGAAAGGTTGTGCACATGTATTTAAATTATGTTTACTTACAATTTACACAATAATATGGACGTTTGCTGCCTATGTATTTATGCTCTTTTGTATTGCAATATTTTCCGGTGTTATTTTCCATGTTAAGAGACGTAAGTTTAAATTATATAAAGTTTTAATTATACCACTTTATTAATTATTGTAATGTAATTGTTATTTATTCTGTAACAGACTTTAACGAAATTTTTTTGATGTGGGTATTTGCGTTGATTTTTACATGCATCATGGTTTATATCATTTGGGTCACTTACAATCAACGTAAAATACAAAGCATCGTGGTGGCTGTGTTTTTGATAATTTCATTATTGATTAGCTTAAAAAGCATACAATTGTTTCCACCAATACCAATTGGATTAGGCATAATCACCCTTATGTCTA